AGAAGGACAACTGCTGCGAAGGGGTCTTCGTCCCAGCTGGAACTCAGCGGGGTCATCATCAAGGGCATGGGAGGTTTCCCCTTGTGAGCCAGAGGCCAGCTCTGCTCTGCTCCCTGCTAGCCCAGTCCCTGCTCCAGCCCAGCCATCGCAACCCGAGACGAAGGAGCATTTTGAGAAACTGTACCCAGATCTGGGCACTCCATCACCTTTGCCTACGACACTGCCCCTCATCTTGGGAGCTTGATTTGGGGTTGTGCTAGGAACGCTGGGGCACAGGGAACTCTCAGCCGCGTAAAAATACCGCTTTTTGAACGGTTTCCCAACTGGCAGCACAGAAGGGGTGGAAGGCATCACGGATTTGGCCCGGAGAACCTGTGAAATCGGCCAGAAGCAGTTGCGGAGTCTGCAGGTAGAGGATCCAGAGAAAGAATTATCACCCTGCCAAAGCTAGAACTGCAGAACCTGTTGCTAACTTCATAAACCCACTAAAAATGAATACGTTTTTCTATATATTGAGGCTCAAAAGATTTTTTTTTTAAAAAAAATATTGACATGGTATTAGCACATATGCATACAGAATCTGTTCTGCCAAATTAAACCTAGTCCAAGACAGAAGGAAAATAGAAGTGATGACTCTTTACAGTAGTAGTTTAATTACATAAACTTCTATAGGTAGGCCTGATCTCATTGCAGATTTCCTAAGGCACAGAAGCTTTATCTGAAAATCAACCTAGATCAACCCTCCCTGCACCCCAATTTTGCTGGTACTTTTCCATATACAGACCCCCAAATCCATGCAGCAGCATATCACAAATGCAATATATCCTGACTAGCACTTTTGAGGTTATCAGCTGTTTGTACTGAAAGAAATACAATTTGGCAGTAAAGACTCTACCACAGCTTTGTCATAATTTTTTTTCCACATAAATATCTAGATTCTATTTTCAATTTGAGGAAGAATACGTTAAATGCTTCAATTCTTCCTGCATCAGTTCGTCTCATGTTTCACTGATGCAGACCACGTAACATCAAAACTAATTGTCAAATATTAAACTCCATGGGTTTTTTTTCAGTTTGCAGTTGTATATTTATTACAAACAAAACCCTGAGGAATCTGTTACGTCATAAGAATTACGTCACTGAAACACGCACAGTACAGAATTCATCCCTCCTATTCACCAAGCATGCGATGCAATATTTATACTGCATATGTTTTCAAATGTAGTTTTATTCCAGTGACCTATCTGCAGTCTTTACATATATTTCAAAACAACATTATGCAAACAAATCACAGGACAGTACTTAAAGAATCTTTAGTATATACTCCTTTATAAAAGGTTTTGACACAATGGAAAAGTCAGTCCAGGAAAGCTCACGTTACCAGGTTTCTTGATAAACAAAATACCATGAAGTCCTGTAACCTGTATGAGCACGAGCATCCATCACAACGGATCCCTCTTCTAAATCCCTCTTTTAAATAAACAGGTTTATGTTTTGTTCAGTAGGTGAGTTTCTATCACGACACTGTCCACTTAATTTTGTGCTTTCCAAAAGGCAAGCATACTCAGAAATAAAATTCCCTACCCAATAGGAGAGAGAAATGCGGTAAACATGTATTTGTTTCCCATTCCAGCAGAGGAATACAAGTTCACTGAAATTCTCATTATGGCTAAATCCAGCACGCCCTGCTTATAACTTCTTCTTCTTCGTCTGCTCCCCGGAGTCTAGCTTACGTTTCTTAGCAGAAGCTGGTTCGTCATCTTTTTCACCATCTTTAAATAAAAGACAGAGTTAATCAAAGTCAGCAAAAGCCAATATTTTTGTCTTAAACACCACCCTTGTCTCAGAAAAACTGACTTAACCACATCTGAGGCGCCTGGAAAAAACACACAGTAGTATTAACGGAAAACATCCTCATTTTTGGAATGTGGACAATTTGTGGACAGAACAGGAATGATTACTTGTTATTATTACCACAGACCATCGAGGATAGCAAAGAAGAGGTCTTGTTATGCTACCGTACAGTACCTGTTCTAAAAAACTTATTATTTGAATATATACGACAAAAAACTAGAAAATTACATTTTAGAAGGAGGAAGTAAGGTCAAAGTCAATTAACAGTTTATCTCCTTAGTCTTTGGGTGAAGGCTGACTAAGAGAAGCGTGAAGGGGGGGCGGGGGAAGCATTCAGAACAAATGGAGCAAGGCCACTGGGGAAGGAACAGCCAGAACAAAAAAAAGGGGCAAGACAGCAGAAAGAGACTTCCTTTGGAAAAGGTTTGCTGACAACTTTACCGGCAAACCAAAACATTATCGTATGTTCTGAAAGCCCAGAATTTTTTCTTCTGGTTTTGTTCTCTTGGGTGTTACTGGCTATTCTCTTTCTCCAGAAAGTTTAAAAAAAAAGAGTAATTCCTCCTTCCCGTCAAATATTTCTTTACTTCCTAGATTACCATTACAGCTCGTACCACAATTAAAAGCGAAGAGGACAGTAAATATTTTCTTCAGTAACGGGCGCTTTATTTAATTCCCCTCTTGGCCCCCAAGTTTTGCAAACATTATGAGAATAATCTGACTTACATCTGCACCTAAGGTCAAGGCAGCGGCGCTTGAAGAAGCTCTCATACCACTTTCTGTTCTAGCAGTGCCATGACCGAACATGTTACTTTCCTGTAGCTGCAGTTCTACAGACTCTTTAATCGTTCCCTGTTTCTGCTAACGACAAGGAAGGGGAGCAGAGAGATTGCTGGGGAGTCCTTGCCGACTGCAGGGAAACCAGAATGCAGGCACTGGTGCCTGGCCACCCCCCTGCCCGGGAGCAGCAGCAGGCATGGAAGAGGCCAGCAGAACCCACTCCAGGTGCTGGGCAGGGAGGGCTCCAGCCTCATGGCCTCCACCCACCCACCCACCCAATTC